TTATACACATCTAGATGTGTATAAGAGACAGGTATTGGGGGGGTATGAGGGCGTATTGGGGGGCGTATGAGGGTGTTGGAGGGTAATTTGGGGGTGTTGAGGAGGTGTATGGGGGTATTGGGGGTGGGTATGGAGGTGTCGGTGGGGTTATTACGGATTCTGGACCCGAACTTTTTTTTTTTTTTTGCGGGGTGCCGACCACCCTCGACCAGTGGGTGCTGACCAGCCGAGCGGTCGGCTGGTCGGCATCCCAGCGGTCAAGGGGCGCCGACGGCCCGGGGGTGCAACCCTGCCAAGTGTGAAAAAACTCAAAGGAAAAGTAGCATACAAGAATAAATTTGCAAACAATATTGAAAAAGCCCAGAGCACACATTGATAATTTGACACTGACATTTTTTATAAAGAAACTTCTTCGTTTTCTGTGGAATGTTTTTGTACACTCCATTGTTTTAATTTGTTGTGGCAAAAATCAACATGCAACATGGTAAAGAAGTCTTGATCACCTTTACCTTTGTCACAAAAGGCAACACTTGTTGATTGTTTTGAAACAGTAAGCCGGGTGCCTTTATCAGCAAATGTCTGGAAAATTTTTCATCCCTTGTTGAATCCGTTTCAAGAATGTGTAGAGTCTCCTGACGAACATGAGGAAACTCTGAAGAGAGAAGGCTCGAAGTGATCATCAACAAGGTGTCAACCATTGCGTCACCATTTTTCTGTGTTCAATGGTCTTGAGAACTCCAGATCGAAATACAAATGGCACTGTGCTTTCTGCAGCAGCAAAGCAACTCATAGTAAGTAACAAACGATACACGAATTTGCCAGAAAGAAAAAAAAAAAAAAAAAAAAAAAAATCAATTATATCATAACAAACATAAAGTTATTAGCTACATACCAATGCTGCAAACCTGGTAGGACCGGGGGGCCCTCCCCCAACCGGAACCGGACCGGTCCTACCGCCCGGTCGACCGGGCCGGTTCCCCCACGGTTGGCCGTAGTGCATCGTTTTATTTTATTTTATTTTATTTTTAACCCCAGGGTGTTGTAGAGGCCAAGGACTAGACCCACGGTGGTCGCTGGCAGCGGCAGTCGGTGGGTGCCCTGATAGGATAGGCCAACTTCCCTACCCTTCCCTACGATAATGCTCCCAGCGCACCCCCTATCCCTACTATCCTACCTCAGTGTGACCAGCACTCAGGACCATCACCCTACCAGTATCGAGGGCAAGTTGGACAAGACAACAGTGACAAGCACCCCCTAACATTATCATCCCCACCCCCCTTTTCAAAGTTTTTGGGTGGGAAGTACCGTCCCTACCCTGCCACTAACACCCCCAACCCTCTTTTCAAAGTTCTTGGGCGGAAGGTTAACGTTTGCAGAAAGCCAGATACGTTGTTGTCAATGTCTGCTGAAGCCCGTGCTTGCCGAAACCCCACCACCAACACCCTCACCATAAACCCCCCAACCCTCGACCCCCAACCCCTGAAATACCCCACCCCACCCCCAACCCCCCAAACAAAACTTCTCTGTTCAAAGTTTTCTTTGTGGATTCGGGAAGATCTCGGCGATTTCAGTCCAACCATGTTATAAAAAAAAAATAAAAAATTGACCCACCTTTGGGCCCAACCGGAATTTCGGTTGGGCCACCGGGGGTCCAACCCGCCCGGTTGGATCCGGGCCGGTCCAACCCGCCCGGTTGGATCCGGGCCGGTCCAACGGCCGGTTGCCGGTACAGCCCTGCTATATACATGGTAGGTTTGTACAATTGACTTTGGTCCAAAACATAACCAGTTACACTTTTATTGTTGCTACCATCTTCACCTGAAGAGAACGCCCGACCATTATCAATGCATCTATTTTGACTGGGCGTTCTATTTGGGTGAAGACGGTAGCATTGTCTAGTATAATTGGGAACTCGGTTTTGTGTAAGATGTTACGTCATTGGGAATACTAGAAAAGACCCTGTCTGCCAAAAGTGCAGCCGACACCTGTACGTTGGTTGCTTCACCCAAGATCTTCAACCAAAGTGTAGGGTTCAACCCACTGTTGGTTGGAGATGCTGGGATTGAGACTTAGATCCTGTGAGCCAGGAAACTTGTATTGGAGCCCCGTGCAGATTGTGGAAGGGAGACAGGGTGCAAATACTGGGACAACAAGCATCCAGTCCAAGCACACCACATGCAGCCAGACACCGCAAAACGAGACAGTCAGCCTGAGTTTGGACAATATGGATTCCTGCAGTGCTGCTGCTGCACTTGCTTGCTGGATGGAGGCTCATGTCTGACAGAAAACAGAACATCAGACTGAGGAGAAGTCAGCCAGGATACTGTAGCATTGACAGCTCAGCATGAATCAGGGGTTTGGCTGCCGCCTCTACAACCTAAGAGCAGACTGCCCTAGAAATATTCTTGCTGCCGGAGGGAAAAAAAAAAAAAAAAAAAACAGCCACTGAACCACTAGGCATCCTCATCCCCTCTCCAAACCATTGAGGTTCTGCCAGCGAAAGCTCATGAGGGGAGAACATATACGGGTGTCTGGGAAMTCTAAGGGCSGGCATAGTGGTACTGATGGCCAATCTTCATCCAGCCATAAAAAGTTGTTATATAGTCTCTCTTGACACGACCCCGTTTCTCCGCTTGTCCCCCCTCCCACCCTACTGTCGCTATCCATCCCCGTTGTTCTACCCTAGACAGTCCTTACAGAATTTCTTGACTTCAATGATTTCCTTTTCTGTCTGTTTTCCCATTATAATACTCCAGTTTCTTGTTCACTACTGGCTATTTGGCCAATAGTCCTGTTCAATTTATTTATTTATTTATTTATTTATTTATTTATTTATTTAGTTTTAGTTCTGCTTGGATTTGTTCTAATGACTTCTGCGCATCCTTCCCCCTCAAGCTGGACACCCTGCATCTCATATGTGCATTTTTTCCACCAGAGAGCCCAGAGTACTGCCCTCGTCCTTAGACAAAACATATCAGTAGTAAAGGTACTCACATGAGGCGGTTTCCACGCTCTGCACATTAATGCTCTCCAGTCCCATTCCGAATCTGTCCCGCCAGCTCCAGGTAAGTACAGACCCGGGAAATTAAAAAAAAAAATGTTCGATTGTTTGACCTCCTGGGAGGTGCAAGACACAAGCTGCTAGGCAGGATAACGACTGCCAATAATATTCGGGGAGCAAGCTATAGCTTTTGGGGAGAGTGGTGGTTCTTGGGGCAAGGGGACAATATGGGTATTGTTGGGGATGAGTGGGGCTGTGATGGCATACACCTGTTAAGGAAGGAGTGGACTATTCACTCGGAGTCTTGATGCATTAGTAGGCTGATGATTTTCAATACACACCTGTTGAACCTAGGAATCTAGGTTGATGGTTGTGGTATATCAGTAGGGTGGACACCAAGTGCGAATGTAGCAGAGCTACACTGTTGAAATTGGTGATCTTTCATTGTAGTTCTACCAGATCTGTGGCACCGGCTCACCGTGGTTGACAATTGATTTTTGTAAAGCTACCTCAGGCACTCGCATATGCCATCTGTTCTGACCCTGGACAGTATAGATATTAGCTTTCTGTTGTGAATGTAGACTAAGCAAGAAATTAACAACCTTGAATATTATGTTTCCACATTTCAAACCGAGTTCTTTCTAAGCCAGCCATATAAAATTGACAGGGTTAAGCAATAGATTTTTACACAGAAGCAGAATATGTACATTACAGTCATTGATTGAGGCACAAATCTTGGATTTGTTTCGATTTTCTCAAGTAAATTCAAACTATAATGAAATCATGAAAAACAGGTTTGTTAGACTCATAGGACATGACAATATGTTTGTTGACTTACAGGATGGATCAACTCATAAAAAACACGTTGTTCTTGACTCATCTCCTTGTACCTGTGAAACAAAGATTGAGAAAGTTGATGTCAAGAACGTTCAGATTTGAAAACCAAAGATAATGTCGAGATTGTTGGACTATGAGGTACAATAGAATGCGGCAGAAGTACAACACGTGATTATGAACAGAATCCATCCAGGAATACAGAGTATGTTTGTCCATACCCATGTGTTATTGTTGAGAACGAAATGAAAAAAACTGCATATGTCAGTTGATAAATGACCAATGAAACATAATTGGACTACAGGTCCATAGTATAAAGCAAAAGAGAAATATTTTTGAATACATACATAAGTTATTAATTCTTATATATAACATTCGGACGTTAGCTGACTCACCTGCTCAGAAAATTACTTTGACCCATGACAGCATACTCAAAACCTGAAAGTGGTGCCGGCAACTCATATGCAAGTATGACCGGGCACAGAAACTTCGTGTCTCGATCCACAAATGCGAGTGCAGCATCTGCCTTTGAAAAGGTTTGCACTGTCCTTCCTAAAGAATTTGAACCCTGAGAAATGCAATCAAAGTTGAAATTACAGTCATTGAAGCAATAAAAAAGCAATAAATAAGTTTGAAACATCTCAAAGCGGTAAGTGGTGGCAACAACTGATTCTGTTTGTTTGTATCAGTGTAGGTCCTCATACACTTGACCTGCGACTGGTAAGTTCAATGATGATATCTCAAAGGGATGGAAAAAAGAAAAAAAAAAGGCTAAAATGTCCCCCAAACGAAGAGACTTACTCGTGACACTTGACTTGCACATTCAGTATGACAGTTGCTAGGGATGTTGAACATCTTAATTTCAGCAACAGTTAGGAAGCCATATGTCCTGACACATTGGGCTTCTTGCACCCCATTCTAGGACGGCCATGAAAGAACCTAGCGGTATTTTAAGGAAAAAAAAAAGAAACAGCACCAAAATTTTCGGTTGCAGGCTTGCAGCTGCCTTCAGCAGGAGTTGTGGGACGAACTGCAGCTGCACTTGCAACACCAGATGTTGCTTCTAAGATAGAAGCAACAAATACACGTGTGGCAGCAGTTCTTGTACCCGATGCAGCAGCAGGTGTAACACCAACTTGAACACCAGGGGCCCCAACTGCTGATATTGCTGCCTGTAAGTTATGAGTGAAGAAAAAACAAAGACGGGTGCACGGCATACCATTTGACATGCACACACACAGAAACACACTCACACAGATAAAGCACATAAACACACACACGTCTACTAATATAAGTCTCAAAGCTAAAACTCTTTTCAAAAGTATTTTCAGAAGCTTTTCACGTTTTTAAACTAGGTTACTGGGTCGGACGTCCGCAACCTCCCTGACCGTCCAGGGTTGTTTGGTCGGACAACCGGTCAGACGTCCTCCCGGGGCAATCTGTCCAAGCCCGAACGCCAAAAAAAAAAAAAAAAAGCCAAAAAAAAACTATGTTATGCAGAAAAATAAACTGAACAATTTTTGCCTTGGGATCACATGAAAATTCTTTACCAAACAAAATATAAAATAAAATTAAATATACCCCCATTTTATTTTTTTTTCGTGCTGAAAATGGAGTTGTTCGGGCCCAGATGTCGGGGACCACCCTGACTGTCCGGCCAAGACGTTCTGCCATCGGACACTGTTGATCTGTTCTGAACTAGGAGAGCACTCTGAATCCAGATATCTGGACATTTGTCATACGATCATATCCATAATAGTTGTTTTTATGCAATTTTGTGCTCCACACTAGTTTCCATGTCCAGATACATGCCTGGTTGGACATCCAGATATCTTGGAGTAACCTGGACATACCCCCTGGTAACTTAGGTAAAAAATTGCACAAAACTGTGGAAAAAATATATTTGATTTACAACAAGTGGATTGATAGTAGTATGACTATGACATTTTTTGTATGGGACAAAAAACAGATATTGAAGTATACCCATCTTGATGCTGCGCGTTCAACCTGTTCAAGGGCAATCTCCACCAGTTCATCCCAAACTTGTGAATTCGGCGCCTCATCGTCCTGTAAACAGTTCAATTATTCAGTAATTACACAGTGCTAAATTGTGTAGACATTATTACCCAACATTCACTCCATTCAAGGATAACAGAAAAGAGATCCATTGATCACAAACTTATTCGTTCAAATACATAACCAGCCAGGGTTTTAAACATTTGTATCATATTTGTTAAAAGTTGTTGCATTATTCCATTTGCAAATAATCTACAATAAAAAACAAATGAGCACTAGATGAAAGAACCATAAATTCTGTGTTCTAGGGCCAAGAAGAACCGCTTGGCTGCAGTCTCGTCTCTAGCAGGGAAACTTGTTCTGTCCCCATGGCTGAAGTTTGATTAGGTCGTTAGCAGATCTGTAGATTATTGTATGTGGGAGTTAATAAATGGCTATATGATTATCATGTTCGAGGGATTTCACTTCGCAGGTAATATATTGGTCTTGTTGTTCCTTCAATGTGGCTTGGGGGGTGGGTGGTACTTCTCAATTATGGATGGGGTGGGATTTAGGATAGTCCGGGTTACGTCGTAAGGCCGAACCAACCTGGTCACTCAGTGATTCTTGTTACTTTGGGGGGAGTTGTTTTAAGCCCACGGACCCGTGGCAGGGTCGGAAGGGGGCCGGGAGTTAAGTGGTCGTCTGCTGTGGTTTCGTTCAAGAATAGTTCGTTAGTTTTCAACCAGGTTAGTTCGGCGAGCCCTACATAGATGCAGGTCTCATTTGCTTTGTTCGTGTCGTTGGCCAGGTTATTCTGGCTATGAACCCCGTCCCCCTTACGATGTTTCTTTGATAATAAATCATACGATGCCTTTTAAAAATATATAAAACAAATTGTGGATGGCCGTTGGCTCAGTGGTTAGAGCACCGGTTGGAAATGCGCGTTGTGGTATGAGGTTGTGAGTTCAAAACTCTGCTGCCTCGCACACGTACACTGCCAGCACTTTCATAAGGCATGGCCATTCACACACCCCCCTTGGGTTGACGCATGGTAAGATTTACAGACACACAGGGCGGGGTGGGGGGGAGGGGGGGAATAGATTAGCAAGGACAAGTTAAGGGGGCCACTCTTACAACTGAGATCGATGACGAATTTATAACAGTAGTGTCGGTGATAGGGCCCTTGCCCATCCATACACCAGTAGAAACCACTGAAACAGTCAATATCCCTGCGTAGCGGCTTGGACCGTCCAATCTGTTACTCTTGCCAATCTGTATTATCTGTGGGGGTACCGTGGTGAACCTGGGTACAACTAGTACACCTCCCGTTACTATGGCACCCATACAAGAGTCCACACAGAGCGAACCTAGACTAGCGGGGTAGTTTTCTGCCTGGGTCGTCCTTAATATTAGACTTAGGGCAGTGTCTGCACGAAGATGTTCGGGTCAGTCCGGTAAGCATTGGTGCAAATCATGACTTGCGATCTGAGCATTAGCATAGGTGATGTCATCATGCTGCCACCTTGAGGTGAATCGCCCTTCCGTCCTAGCAATCCATCTGAACTCCCAATGGATGAGTACTAAGGGGGTAGTACGGACACCTCCTGAGGCCTGGCTTCCACCCTATACTACACCTTAGACCTTCAAAAAAAAAAAAAAAAAAGAACCATAAATTGTAACAACGTGACAACATACCTCAACTCTTTCTTCTTTGTCCTCCACATTTTCTATGTCGCAAGATGGCCCCTCATCGTCTCTCTCATTGTCACTCGCACAAGCTTTTCCCAATAGCGGGAAGTCAGAGGTGTTTCTTGTGAACCTGGTTCTTTTTGTCGAGTGCTCTGTGACCTGTGATGAAAATCAAGAGACGGTTGCACCAAAGAACACAACACCTCAAACAAAAACTGAATCAACAATATCACTAGAATATTAAATAAGATTGCAACTACACATCTGATAAAAATGAAAAGGGAATTCATGAAAAGTGACAAGAAGTTTCAATCATGGAGTACTTGGTTACTAGAGTGGTCCAGGCCTACCTCCCCGACAGGGCCTAAGAAAAAAAAACAATCATAATAACATATTTTTATTATTTGTTTATTTATTTATATTCTTAGTTTGGTAAGCAACTTTCATTTGAGCCTGCAGCAAAATTGTTCAATTTATTTTTCTGCATGACACGTTTTTTCTCATATTTTTTTGATTTTTTTTTGAATTGTTTTTGTGCACTTCCCCAGCTGTACCCCCAGGGCAACCAAGGATGCTCTGGGAAGCCTAGTTTGTAGCCCAAGGGAGTACTCTATTATTCACAAATACAATAAAACGAAGGTCAGAGGAATGAAAACATCACAATGCACAACCATGTATTCTCAAGAACCTAAGCTACCAAATGTTTGGACTCCATACAGTCGGGGCAGACATGATCAAGATGTGCAGACATGCAGGCGTTGATAAGTCCAGAAATGTGAATTTGTGGAACAATAAGACATACATCGTATCCAACATGTATGAACCCCTATACATCCCGATCTCACCAGAAGAACATATGATCGAGATGTGCAGAAATGCAGATAATGATAAGTCCAGAAATAAGACATATATCGAATCCAATATGACTTAGTTGCCAACTTGTGTTGTGGAAGTTGTCCTCAATATGCTCATGCAAGTGTACAGAGCAAGAAGCTAGCGGAACACCACCATAGGAAGTGTTGGTAAAGAAGAAAGTCAGCAGGAGAGGTGAAAGGGTAGTAGGAGATAGGAGACCGAGCGTATTGAAAGAGTGAGAGTGAGCAGTCCAAGTGAGGAAAGTGAGGAATGCAGGTGGAGAGAGAGAGAGAGAGAGAGAGAGAGAGAGAGAGAGAGAGAGAGAGAGAGAGAGAGAGAGAGAGAGAGAGAGAGAGAGAAGGAGAAGAAGAGAGCCAGAGACAGATAGTGAAGAGGAGAGAGCTTAGCTCAAGTGAGAAAGATCACTGGGCTACCATATCCGGTGTAGTATTAGCTTGGATTTGAACAATTTTGTATTCATCCAGTAATAATTTGGGGTTTTCCAGCTAATATCAATCTTGTTTCTCTGTGGTTGACTGTTTTGTGTGGAGACTGGTGCGATGAATGCTTGTGAGTGAACTGCAATCTGAGTCGGTCTATCACAGACAAGTTAAAGGGATAAAAAAAAAGCCTTGCCGGTTTGAGTAACCAGCCACTCTGTGCAGTCACACCAGAAACTGGTTGCATCGACCAGTTGCTCCACACAGTTCCAGTAACGGTGTGCACAAACCAGCTATCATAAGCAGTTGTGACAACTGTTTATAACATTTTCGTAGTACAGTTGCTTCATATGATTAGATTACTGTGACCAATTGCAATGACTGGTTGGTTGAAGCAATCACTCGTACCTGGTACTGCAATGATTGGTTACAGTAAGCTGTTCAACCAACTCATTGCTGGACTTTCATGCTGGAAACGAACATTATAACCAATTCAACTTGCAGAATCTCATTACTCAAACCAGTTACATGACCAGTTCCACTAAATGGATGGATTAATCTTTTAGAATAACTGCTTACTCTCACTCATTACTTCAACCAGTTAATGTAAACATTTGAAGTGCAAATTCTGCAAAGCAGATCTTGTGACTAAGAAGCAAAGAGTTCACATGTCAGATATACTCAAGGTCTTCAAAGTTCATGTCCGAGATGGTATATACCTCTGTCTCTTCCATTAACTGTCCATAGCAATCAAGATCACGGTTCAATGAAGTGTTTTCTGTACAAATACTGGTTTCATAAAAACCGGTGACTCTGCTTCTTGTTGTCCGTTTTGTGACCGTGACTTTTTCAACGACTTCTTTCTTAGTGAACAGATCCATGACCTGAATGCCAGAAACAACAGACAAACAAAAAAGATACATTAGAATCGCGCAGGATTCAAACAAATCAACCTAATTCACAGTTATTGTTGGACAACTCTTCAACGACGGTCAATCTATTGCAAGAGGTGATCATCAAACAAGTAATCAAGCAATATACTTCCCAAAAGTCAGTAAACACAACGAAAATAAGAAGGAACAAGACAAATCATATCTATTGCAAGAGGTGATCATCAAACAAGTAATCAAGCAATATGCTTCCCAAAAGTCAGTAAACACAACGAAAACAAAAAGGAACAAGCCAAATCATCACAGTGTGGCCAATCCAACGAAGCAAATGTTGGAACTGAACTACCTTCTTCCCCTCCACAGAAGGCACCCTGCGTACTTCAATCACATCCTGGCCAATCCAACAACAGGTTCACAAATATTTTTTTCTCTTTTAAATGATTAATGATGATTTTTTTTTTGGGCTAACTACGGCGGAGTCACAAAAGAAGTTTGTAAATTCATTCTAAACACCCTTTTCGCAGCTCAGTCAGGGCCCGAGTTTCAAATGCATTTGAAACTCAGGCTGCCGTTTGGTATCACTTGAGTCACACCGTGATGACCGGGGAGCCGTGAAACCCTTGGGAGGGCATACTCTCACATGCAGCCCAGATTCTATATCCAACTGCTTTCACGTCCATAGAAGGGCTCTGCAAAATGAGGGGGATGAGTGAGCCACACATTTTTTTCCTCGTTCTTTTTTTTTTTTACTGCCCTGTGGGAGAAGGATGTTCAAGGAGAAAAAAAAGAGAAAATATGTGTGTGCGTGTGTGTGTGTGTGTGTGTGTGTGTGTGTGTGTGTGTGTGTGAGAGAGAGAGAGAGAGAG